GGGAGGAACAGACTCTCTGTCGGGAAGCAAGCCCGGCATCGTGGATCAGGAGCGAGGCTGACCGGGATGGGAGGTCATCCGCCCTCCTCCTTGCTGGGGCCTGGGGGAGGGCCCGGGGCCAACCGAGGCTGGGCTGCTGGTGAACAGACAGACCCTCCAGCCTTTAAACACGTGGGGCCCAAAGGGAACTCGCACCTTCTGCTTCAAACATGGCTCTGGAGCCCAGGGCCCAGGGGCTATCACAAGCAGGATGCATCAGTCAGCTTTCTAACCAAGGTCTATGGGTTTTAACCTCATGATTTTAGCCCCTCATATGCCTTCATACACGTGGCACCATTCAGTAGCCCAAGACACAAATGCTGCTCAACATCTTGGAAAATACCGGCTCTGGGATTTCTTTTCCTTCACGTGGTGGCAGTTCCATGAACAGAGAAAGCCTGGTGACAAAGTTCTGTGCACCTGGGGACTCTCGGTCCTGCAGCAGAGGAGGGTCCCAAGAATCTGTCACCAACACATCTTTCTGAGGGGAGAGGACTCCACCTAATCCTGGAAACTCCAACTTTGCTGGGCATGTCAACAATACGGTTTACCGTCAACCCGGGCCACTCAATGGGGTTCGGACCAGGACAGCCTGGATTTAGCAGTGACAGCAAAATTCCCTGACAGAGCCTGGTAGGTCTAGGGACCCAATGGTGGCAGCCCCTTACTGGTTTTCTCAAAAAACTGGGTAGGGGGACGCCTGGGTGGCAGTTAGTTAAGCATTCAACTCTTGGTTTCCGCTCAGGTCGTGATCTCAGGGTCGTGAGATGGAGCCCTGTATCCGCAGAATCTGCTTGAGACTCTCTCTCCCTCTCCCTCTGCCCCTCCTCTTGCCCTTTCTCTTTCTCTCTCCAATAAATTTAAAAAAATCTTAAAAAAAAAAGAAAAAAAACTAAAAAAATAAAAAGACTGAAAATCTGCCCATATGTTTAAGGCATTTACAGCTGCCCAAAGAGGCTTCTGACTCTGCCTCCTAAGTGCCTGTCATCGGGCTCTCTAATTGCCGTGTGGACAAAGAGGTGGAAATTTAAACAAAGTAGGTTTCGAAGTATTAGTGGAAGATGAAAGTTGTTCTAGAAGGGCCTAGGCATGAGAAGCACGCAGAGACACGTGAGCACAGGCCTGTCTCCAGGCAGCATAGTCCCCGAAGCCAACAGAAGTCCACACAAACTTTCCCAGCAAGCCTCGACACTTAACACAACAAGGGGACACATCCAGCACCCAGGAAATCAGACATCTCTTCTGTGGTGTCTGCTAAGAGGCTCCTAGGAGACCCGGCACAGAGATTTCTGAGTGCTCCGTCCCCAAAGGCTCCAAACCCTCTTAGAAAGGAAAGGAAGAGCTCCCCTAATCCTCCTGGGGCGGGTGCTCTCATGGTACTGCCGCCGTTACCCTCCCCCTTTCCAAAGGAGGAAGGCTCGGAGCAGTTAAATGGCTTTCTCCTGGAGCTCGACAGCCACTGAGCAGTGGGGGCAGGTGGGGAATTTAGGGCCCTTCTGATTCAGTCCAGCGCTCTTGGGTCCTCCAGAGAATGAGGCCTGCACACCAAACTGGTCTGATGCAGATCTGCGGCGACCGGTGCAATTTCAGGGGCTAATTCTCAGCCAGCTGCCAATCACATCAAGCATGCACTCAGGACGGGTTTGCCCCCCTACCATTTATGCTGCAAAGGAAAAGCAGCCCAAACAGATGTGCCCACTTTACCCAGGGCCATGGGATCTGGGCTGACACCTCTCAGTTCCACACCTAACAACCTGTGTCTTTTCGGAAAGAAAATCTGAAGATGTGATCGTCCACGGAGGCCTCTCCCGCCCGAGATCTCATTTGCTCACCTGGACAATCTTAGCAATGCATTTAATTGGTTCTTTGAAGATTCCAGGGTTTCCAGAGCCAACCTGTTCAAACAAAATAGCCCCAGGGAAGGACAGGACCCTGAACTTTTATTGGCTCACACCGTGGCAGTAGTTGGTAGCTAGCTGAGAGTCAGGCCCTGAGAAGAGGGAACAGGACTCGGGGGAGTTGAGAGAGGGGCAGGAGGACAAGCAGGAGAAGGGAGGGGAAGGAAATGGAGCAGCTCTACACCCCAGCCAGCAGCCCACTGCACCGTTTTGCAGAAAGAGGCCATTCCCTGCTCTGTCCACCCACCAGAGAGACCAACCCCACCGCCAAGGCTAAAGGTAGAAAAGTCTAGAAGAAAGAGAGAAGGGACAGGAGAGGTGGGAAGAAAAGGATGGAATAAACCAACCATCAGAGCCTCTTCAATCTTAATTCATTTTATTCTACAAAAACTACTCAATTGAAAGTGGAAAAGCTAACCAAAAAAAAAAAAAAAAGTTTTAATATGTTCTTTCTTCCATAGCAGCAAGCTTTTTCTAACAAGCTTTCTTTAGTGCAAATACTGTAGGCTTATTTTACAGTAAAATAACAAACAACGGAAAACACCACCAGAAATGCTTCAGAGCAGAGCTACTCCTCAATTTTCAAAGCTATACAAAGATTTTTGAGCTCATGGGTCCTGCCAGGAGAGGTCTATTTAGTAACCTTCCCAACGGGACCATTTCACCAATACTTACAAAAAGAGAGAGAGAGATAGAGAGAGAGAGAGAAGAAAAAGAAGATTCTCAGAAAGGTAGTTCAATTCCCCCATAGAGCTATAATTGCCTCCAGGATCTTATAGCAGACTTTACTCCACATCATTGACATATCTCAAATACAGATGCACAAAGCCTGGGCTTTTCCACTATATACCAAAATACGATATATACATCTCTCACTGCAGAAAAGACACCCTGATACCTATTCTTTATACAAAGGCGAGTATTTTTTCCTCAACATCAAGTAACCACAAACTAAAATAAATGGAATAAACTTTTAATCATACAGAGAAAATGATTTTTGAGGAACAGGGCAGGATCTTTTCGTTGTATTGTCTTACAATGTAGAACTTTCTTGGTGACCACTGTCCCCAGAGGAATGACCATCCGTCTTTAAAAACAGAACCTTTTTTATACAGTTTATACAACACATGTCACAAATCATTTTAGAAACAAAAAAAGCATCATTAGCCTAAATTAAAAAAAAAATGAAGAAAGAGAGGGAGAGAGGAACTGAGTATTTTAATGCTGTTTCTCATCAGGCTTGGTACAACACAAAGATGTAAACATTTTAAATAAATAATAAAATAAATGTCGATTTCTTCTCTCCCTCCCCATCCATCCCCCGCTCAGAATTTGACCCAGCCTTTCCTGAACACATCAGCATTGGAAAATGAAATCCCTCTGTTGATGTATGGCCAAAACACTAGAACCGTGAGAAGATGTCAAATTAGTAGTGGGACAACTGAGTTTCCTTTTTAAAAGCTACAGGAGGCACACTTGGAAATGTACACACACACACACACACACACGAGGGCGCACACACACACACACACATACACACACACCCAACCTGTCAATAAATAGTGAGATGCTGGCTTTTTAAATGAATGCCAAGAGGACTCAACAAGCAGAAAGTAGCAAGACCCCTTTACTTAAGTTTTTAAAAAGAAAGTTACACACATCACCTATCCTATTGGTCCACAAATTCTATAAGGACTCAGGTTACCCCTCCTACCGTCTGAGGAGTGCAAAGGAGCACATCACGAGGGAGAGGGATAAAAAGTTTGGAGGTGGGAGGATACTGTGGGTGATGGGTCTTTGCGAACAAACCTCGGACTGAAGGCAATCTTGCCTCAGATCTTTGAAGAAAGACTTTCTCACCTTCAAGTGTTTTTGTTTGTCCATTACATGGGGGCCTCAAATAGGGGATACCCTCATCCCTTAGTCTCATCGTAAAGAGGGTATATTTCTAAAAGTGCCTAACACAGTGCCTGGCACATAGTAGGTGCTTATGCCTTTCCTTCTCAAAGGGGCTGTATGATATCTGATTGGGAAGGAGACCAACTGGAAAGGTAAATGGTAAGATTACAGGAGCACTGTCGGTCCATCAAGGGAACGGGAGAAAAGTTCCAATACCTGTACCACTGAGCCCTCCCTTAGACGCAGAGCCAAGCGGGAGTGGAGAGAAGACTCTTTTCCTCAACGCCTGAGAAAACGAAGCAGTAGCCTCTGAGGGCTCCTGGCTGAGAGGCTTGTGCGACTGGCCTCAGTGGACACACCTGGCCTTTCTCACAGGCAGAACAATGATTTCTTTCTGAAAACTTCCCCCGTGAATTCTCTGCTTACAGCTGGCTCCGCCATTGCCCAAGCAAGCTTCACCTGGGATCTCCTCTCGTTCCTGCGTCAGCAGCTGTCCCCGTCCACTCAGCCAGGAAGGAGAACTGGTCCCGGAGAGGCCAGCCAGGTGGCCGAGAGGACGGTGTGGTTCACACTAGCCTGTCAAGGAGGGCCTGCCCTATGCCGTCCCAGAGCTGCCTGCAGCCCAGCTGGAATCCGCACCAGCTGCCTCATGGCTGGGGACACAGGGGAGGCCCAGCGGTTCCCAGCCCAAGCACGAAGGCACCCCCAACCGCAGCTGTTCCTGGAGTGGGAGCTGTGGAGGAGAAAGCGGCAGGCCTGGTGGCTGGTAATCCTGGAGCAAGGGTGTGTGTGCGTGAACTCAGAGAACAAGCCAGAAGAAGTCAGGAGGACATGCTCATGAGTTAGGGGTGCGTATTCGGCCTTCCCCAAATAACCTCTGGCTTTGGGGGAAGCCAAACCTCGACCTAGAACAAAGCCAGAAGGTCCTGAATGGGACAGCTTAGGAGCTGCTAAAGTCCTACGGGGTGGTGGAGTTCCTGCCTTCCGCTGGTCCCAAAGCCAACACAGCCTGAAATCTGAACCAGAGCCAAGCTCCATCTCAGGAATGTCCAGCCTGGCCCCGAGTCACAGACTGTGGCCTGCCCTGGTTGGGATCAGTGTTGAGGAAAGTGGGGCACAAAAGGACTTTTAGAAATAAAACACCAAAGCAGCTTCATTTAAGAAATATATATATATATGCAAAAGCAGCAAATAGCTCCCAATTGGCCACAAATACCGCTTGAGATGATTAAGCCTTTCAGAGCTGAGGGCACCCCCAGTTTTCCTTGCCCACCTCCTGCTGTTCCTGGCTGACTTCTGTTTCTTCGATTAATCTGAAGCCAGAAACTCAATTGCCCAGTCTACTAAGCAGTGCCCCTCCCAGAACCTCTGGGAAACCGGGAGGGCAGCCTCATAGCTAAGGAATGTGGGAAATAACATTTTAAGAGTATTTTCTTTTAATCTCCTCTCTCTGCGTGGCCTAGCCTTTCACACGTCACTTGCAGTCAGAGCGGGCTGGGTATTTTAAGCACCGGGCCCGGCCGCTCCATTCGGTGTGCTCCCTTCTCGGGCACGGAGGGGGGATGGGCAGTCAGTAAGGACCAGCGCTCGAGGCCTGGGTGTGTGAGGGGGGCAAGTGAGCCAACGTGAAACAGCTTGCTCTCTCACATGCTCTCTCTCCCTCCCGAGTCTAAAAGTTTAACCCCCACTGGGTTTGATTTAAATAATATCTATATAATTTTAAATTATCATACAATGATCTCTAGAGCGGAATCACAACAGCAGGGTCTCCCCCAGAGCACTAGCCCAGCAGAGGCCCATCCCAGATCAGCCAGAGAGCTAAGCCCTAGGGAGAGAAAGGCTCAGAGGTATGGGAGGCAGGGAGCAGGAGGCCGGGAGGACGCCCTCCCCACTCCCAGCCCCATAGGAGGGGGGCGCCTCTCCCGCGGTGGGAAGCAACACATCTTATCTCTGATTTCAGCAGCTGCCCCCCCCCACCGCCCCAGGAATGGCAGGTAAGCCCCAAGCCTTAGCGACAGCTCCGGGCCAGCGGTTCACAGCTGGCTGGCTGGACCCGAGGAGCACTCCGGGGGAAGGAGTATGTAAAAGAGAAAGCACTCCGTCAGGCAGCAGGTGACCATAGAAGGTAGACAAGGCCGGGCAGCTCACCGAGAGGCGAATACCACTCTGCCTCCCTCCTTCCTCCCCTGCCTTTCCATCCACAGCAAAAGTGCCTTGGAGGCTTGGGGAGGGGCCACTGGGCAGCAATCTGGGGAGCGGCCAGGCCCACGCTCATTAAATCTCCGTGGGTGGCGTCACCCTGAGAGCCAGACTGGGGGAGGGCAGAGCCAGTAGGGACTTTGGAGTGATGTGTGGTTCCTAGGGAGGGACGCCTCCCTGGTCTAGAGAGAAGGGTCCAGGGGCAGGATGGCAAGGCAGTAATTATAGGAAACGTCCTGCTCAAGACACCAGGTAAAGGGAAGCTGGCTAGGACACCTGTGTGGCTTGTTGGCACTATTCCTGGCCTGGTAATTAGGCATTTGGCAAACCCAACCTGTGCTCCGTCTGTCTCACTCACACCCTGTCTTCTGGCCAAGCCGCTCCTCCAAAGAGTTGTGTCCGAGGATGGGGAGGACGCGTCCTCCGAGCCTCCCAGTGATGGCAGCATCTCCTCGAGAGCTCAGGGAGCCCTGCTGGTGGTCCTGGAGATGGCGGTGGACCGGGGAGTGTCAAGGGAGGGAAGGTTCTGTATTGCACATTGACTGTCCCCTTCTGGAAAGTCAGCCCCAGCAGAAGAGTCAGTCACCTGCTGCCCATCTCCAGAAACGAAGAGCTTTAATATTCAGACCACCCAGATGAAATGTCATGGCAAATTTGATAAAAACCAAGAGGAAGTGAAATTGACACTGGGGGGAGGAAGAGGTGAATAGAGGGAAGGTGAAACCAAAAGGCACTGAGCATGCTGGGTGGGGCGGGGAAGGACACCATCACTCCAGAGACGTAGCGTAACAAAGGGACAGGAACGGTCCACACCAGCCGCAGGCTCTTCAGAAGCCGGAGAGATGCCTGAGTCCACCAAACCGAGTTTTCCAAGGCTTTTCAAGAAACAGGATTTGCTTTGCAAGATGAAAAAGGGAGGAGGTCCCATGACTTCTAAGAGATCGCTGAAGTCCTCCAGCAAAATCCCACCTAGGTCTCCCCAGAGCCGGGCAGCTCTCTGGCAGGGTCCCCCTCTTGCCCTCACGGCCCTGGAGCACTTGAAGGTGCTGGTCCCTGGGAAGAAGGCAGTGATGAGGACCCCCCGGGAGCTGGGTTACAGAGCCAGCAGGGTGGGGGAGTTCAAGGAGTCTGATGACTGGTCCCCACTGCTACTGCTTCTGCGGTGAGCCTTGGAGCAGGACTCGGAGGGTGACGCAGGCGACTCCTGCTCCAGGACGGTGGGGTAGGTGAAGACGAGGTTTGATGTGCCTGGAGTGATGGCTGGCGTGGAGGTCACCACGATAGGTGTGTGCAGGGGCTCCTCCCCGTAGAAGCCCCCAGCAATGCTGATGGGCTTGATGACAGAGCGCTGGGCCTTGTCTAGCCCGGCCGATGAGGAGGAGGGGCTGTCCTCTTCCAGGGGCTCCTGCTTCACCACCACGGCGCCCACTCCCCCGCCCCCACTGCGCAGGGACGGCAGCCCAGAGGCGGGAGGCGATCGGCGCTCCTCGGGGCTGATCTTGCACACAGGCCCGTGGGCCACCAGCATGAACTCCAGCTTTTCCTTCTCCTTCTGCAGCTCGGCTATCTCTTTCTGCAGGCCTGACTTCTCCTCCTCCAGCTCCTCTGTCTCCTGCAGAGGGAAGAGAGGTGAGTAAGGGGCAGGAATCTGCCAGGGACCTGCTGGGGGGGGGGGGGGTGGGGCAGGAGGTTTGAAGCCAGGTGAAAAAGGGAAACCCAGAGCTGTGAAAGCAGCCAACTCAGGCCCCCCAGCCACAGACCCCACCACTTCTCAAACACCTGGGGGCTCAGGATGCCTTTTAGGTCTCAAACTCCGGTCTGAGAAAGGTGGAAAGTCGGCTTGGAGGAAGGATAAAATGATAATTAGCGGCCACTGATAGAGGGCGAGCGAGCCTCCAGAAGCTTCCTAGAGCAGGTGTTTTCAATCAACTCATTTTGCAGATAAGGAAACCGGTTCAGAGAGGTTTGTTAATTTGCCCCCAATGTCACAGAGCAAGCAGGTAGGGTAGGCCAGACTTGACCCCAATGTATCCGACTCTAGGGTCCCTATGCTACCATGCCGGGCCGCCTCAGTGCCAGGACTGCCCCCAGTTCCCCGTGGAGGGGGTGGTTACAATGAGGTCTGGAGGGGACAGGAGCACAGCGTGCAGACCCAGCCCTCTCTCCTCCTCATACTCCCTCAACCTGGTCCAGCTGCCTGCGGTGGCGTCCACACCAGCCTCTCAGCTGCACACACCAGCTGAGGACGGCACTGGGCAGGCAGGAAGTTCTCCAGCAGTCCCGGCTAAATTGGCACTGCCCCACTTCCCTTTTTTGCTCTAATTTCTGAAGCATGTGATTCAGGACTCACAGAACCCTTGGAGAACATTCCGTTCGGTCCCCGCGCTTTAACAGATGAGGAAGCCCACAGGCAGAGCAGGCTGAGGCTGGCAGGGTCCCATGGCAAGGGGCTCAGGCCCCTCCCCTGACACAAAAAACCAGAGAGAAGCCACAAAAGCCCACGGGGAGGCGGGGGTGGGGAGCGGGTGCGAAAGACAAAAAGGTGTGTGTCACGGGCCTCCTCCCCACTTTTCCCCTAACAGAGTCCTGTTCCAGAATGAGATGGTATGGGCCAGAGCCTCACGGAGCAGAGAACAGCATATTCCACGGTGAAAAAAAGTTTCCATCTGTCTCAAGGGTCTGACGAACGTCATGAGCTTATGAGAGGTTTCCTGTGGAGGATGTGGCTCAGGGGCCTGGGTGGCTGGGGCGGGTGGGGTGGCGGGGGAGTAGGGTGTGAGGCTTCTGGGGGAGGGACGGGAGGAAAGCAGCGGGCCCCGGAGGAAAGGCTATTCTGGGGCTAGTGGTGGGGAGCACCCAGGGTAGACCCAGAGGACCTGCCTCCTTAGAAAGTTAGTGGTGGGGAGGACTCCCTCGGGGGGAGTCTACCCGGGGAGCACTGATCACTAAGGAATCTTTACACCTAGTGCGGGAGAGCTCCCGCTTGTCCTCCCCACGCTCGCACACACACCTCCACGAGACATCCCTGCCGTCTACGGGAAATTCACATGAACACGTTCTGTCCCCAAGAGCGAGGGCTCCAGGATGGATGAAGGGAAGCTGGCGCAGGGGGATGGTACTGGGAGCATTAAGTCAAGTCACGAGATGGGCAAGGTGATGGACTTCCAAAGCCGCTCCCTGGCCGGTCACGGTAAAAACCGCCAACAGTCTCTTGTCTGCTCACTTTGAAAACATTCCACCAGGGACAGTCAGTCCTGGCTTTAGGCTTCCTCCCCTCGCCATTCGGCCCATCCTGTATGGCTAGCTCGGGAGGGCGTTACGTGATGTTGGTCAGGTCAGGCTTTTGAGAGGGAAGGGCAGGGCCACAGCCCCCAGGTGTGGGCAATTAGGCAGCAGGGGAGAGTGACTCACAAGGGCAGAGGGAGCTACCGAGGTGGCAGCTTCCGGCTCACTGCAGAGGTGGGGAACCCTTCTGCCACGAAGGGTATGAGAAAACCCCAGGAGAGTGCAACTCCGCTAGCACGTGACCGTGACCGTGTCCATGAGACCCAGAGAGCTTCAAAACCCCTGCTGAGCTGAAAGGGGGAGGTCTCCCCCTGCCCAAACTAGCTCCCTTAAGCTAGCCCGGGCCACTCTGGCGGGTCGTAGGCACGGGGGCGGCTGGAACCTTGGGAAACAGCCCTGGAGGGGGCAGGTCTGGGCCCGTGCTGGCTCCCTCTGCCATCCCTCACCCAGGGGCCCCAGAAGGTTCAAGAGCAGGGAATGCTCAGAGGCTGAATGAGAGAGGGTGCGAGGCTCCAGCAGGCTGTTTGGGTCCCTCCTGGGGCCCGGCCTGGTGCCGAAGGCCAGCTCCCTCCCTCCCTCTCTCTCCTTCCATCAGGGCAATGCTAAACCTGTGTGCTCGAAGGAAGGACCCTTTCTATCTGCACTGGCTCCTCTCTAGGCCACTAGGGGACAAGGAGAGGTTGGGAGGCCAGGAGCCCCGAGGCCCTTGCTCTTGCCCCGCTGGAAGTGCCCCCGCCCCACGCAGGGCTCCTCACCGCCTGCAGCTTCTCAGTCAGCTCCCTGCGGCGGTTTCGGCACTTGGCCGCGGCCAGCTTGTTCCTCTCCCTCCGGATTCGGCGTTTCTCCTCCTCTTCAGGCGACAGCTAGAGGCCAAGGTCAAGGACTGTGATTAGGTTTGGGTCCATGATTCAGCAGCTTTGCTTTCTCGCTGTATTTTAAGAAACGCTTCTGAGGGGCACCTGGATGCCACACTGGTTGAGTGTCTGACTCTCGGATTCGGCTCAGGTCATGATCTCGGGGTCATGAGATCGAGCCCTATATCAGGCTCCATGCTTAGCACTGAGTCCACGTGGCACTCTCTCTCCCTCTCCCACTCCTGTTAGCGCACGCGCGCTCTCTCTCTCTCTCAAATAAATAAATAAATCTTTAAAGAAAGAAGGAAAGAAGCCCTTCTGGGACTGTGTGTGCAAGGAGGGAGAAAGGCGAGAGGAGTGTGGCTGGGCTCGGCAGTCCCAGAATCGGCAGCTCACTGCTGGGACCCCCAGGGAGGGCCCTGAGAGCTGGACCCAGCCTGGAAGGTGACATCCCATATCTGAGGGGAGACCAAGACACCGACGTGTCAGGGACTCATCAGCCTAGGCAAGATGATAGCTTTTGTCACATCGGCCCTGATTCCTGGCCAAGGCCAGAGAGAAGCAGCAGCTGGGGCCACATCCCCAGGGTCCCCTCATGCCAGCCAGGCCTGGCCCCACCCACTTAAACAGCTTCTTCCAAACCCTGGCTAATTACTCCTCCCCACCGATCTGCCAGCTCGGCAAGCCTCATTATCCCCATTTGGTTAAGTAGCTAGGCCCAGAGTAAGAACCACCCTGGGGGAAATGTACTATGGCCAGGGGGTAGGCCAAGGATGCCTCTCCCAGCGTCCTCTCCCCACCCCAGAGGGCCAGCTGCCCCACCATTCAACCAAGAGGACTCGAGAGTGCGCCCAGCACAAGGCTAGGCTGGACAGGACAGGCAAAAGGAAAAGGAACCGTCAGGCACGTTCAGTCCTGCTACCCACCATGTCCATTCATTCAACCAACGAGAAAGTTCTTCAAGGTGCCAGGCATGGTTTCAGGGGTTCAAGATTTATCAGAGAACCACATGAACTAAGACACCCATGCAGAGCTGACAGTCTAGCTCCTCACAGGGAGGCTGATTAGGGGCCCATGACTCATGCCCCAGGGCAAGACCTTTGCTCTGAGACTCAAAGTCAAAGCTCTGTTTACATATAGCCCTTCCTGTGACCCCAGTGCCCCCTGGCACACAAAGGTGACACAAGGCCATGGGCCAAGGCAGAAAGTAATTCCAAAAGAAAGGCCATCCCATGCTGTTTGCAGACAATGATGGCGTCCCTACCACGTGCCAAGTACACACATAGTCCTGGGGGCTTAGAAGATTCTATGGGGTATAAGATCTGGATCCCACCCTCAAGGGACAACATAGGGGAAAAGCCAAAGCCACTTTTGGACGTGAGAAGGGCTGCCCCACTGGGAGATGCTGCCTCCACTGCCAGCAGCCCCATGAGGGAGGGAGGCACGGCCCTGGCTGGGCCCAGGTCAGAGTCCCCAGGCCTCCCCATAGCCCTGCAGGTCTGTTGTTGTGATGTCCAAAAGAGCAGAGCAGGGCACAGCTTTGGAGAGGACAATCCCATCCCTGTCTACACTGAGGAAGCCCTGTGGCCCCAACCAAGAGGCCAGAGTCCCACATCAAATTCTCCAAACGCTGGCACGGAAACATACCAGTTGACGGCTCAGACGTCAAGTCCCTCTGAGGCCTCGGGCCCCCTGAGCACAGAGAAGCTCGTCACACCTTCTCAACTTGCAAATGCACCCCCCCACCCCTAGTAGTCAAGGCGTGTGGCCCACAGGGAGGCAGGAAGCCTGGCAGGCTATAGGGAGAACTGCCGGCCTCCTGGTACCTCAGGTCCCTGTCTCCCACGGCTTTGGCTGAGCTGCGTTCCCGCCAAGGCCGACGTGGGCCTCCTTCCCTCCTAGGACATCCTCCCCAGGTTCCTTTACCGCCTCTGAGACCCCACCTCACTGGGGTTAAGAACCAGGCCCAGCTCCCCTCGCCCACCAGCTCCACCCCCGCTGTGTGCCTTCCCCCTGCAGCAGCCTCCAGGAGCGGCCCACAGAGCCCGCCCAGCTGCCAACACCCCTGTGAGGCCCCCGGCAAAGGCCTGCTCTCAGAGTCCCACACTTCGTCCCAGCTGCCCCTCCGTCCTCCAGCCCCGGCCTCAGTCCCAGCCTCTGAAACCCTCCACCTCCCCGGGAGAGCCAAAGGCTCCACATTCTCTCTTCCGGGAGGTCTAAGGCGGCCTGGGTGCAGAACACCGACGGGGCCATTCTGTGTGGCCTCGGACAAATCACCCAACCTTCTGAGCCTCAGATTTCCCATTTAGAATATGGATTACTGGGACCTGCCCTGCCTTCCACAGAGTTTCTGGGATGATCAGATGAGATGCAGTGTGCGAGCCCTTTCTAACCTAGAAAGTGCTAGAAGGGAGAAGACTAATTCAGAGGTCTCCTCGCTGATGCTTTTTCAGAGCCCTGTAAGAGTCCAGGTGAACTGGAGATCCAGCGTCCACCCACTTGGGTACCCTGCTCTGTGTGGGGACCGGCTGCCCAGCTGAGGTCATGAGGCCACTCGGCTGAGGCCCTGAATCTGTGCTGCTCCCAAACCTGTCTCACCCTGAGCCCAACAGTTACCAAGAGCCGGCGGGGCCCCCTGCAGTCCTGCATTCAGGGTTCACTACTCAAAGGGCTACCGGGGCTCCCCTTGAGGCCCAGACGAGCCCGTCATCCGTCACTAATGAGGGCCAGAAAAGGCGCGGAGCCGGTTGCTGCCCCTTTCAGCCTCCCTTCCCCTCTGGGGGCTTCCGGACAACTTCTGGCCTTCCGATTGGCCTAGAAGTCTCTCCCCTATCTGTAAGATATGGGGCAGCCTGTGGGAGCTGTCAGCATAGGAAGTGTAGAGGGGTGGTGACACCAACATGGTCACAACGTGAGTGTGTCAGCACCACCGCGGACACACCCACAAGCCGCAAACCCTCGGCTCCCCGCCTCCTCAGTCGCCGCCACGGGCCTCAGAGGGAGCCTCTGGGCAGGCTCTGAGGAGGGCGGGCAGGCTCTGAGGAGGGCAGGCAGGCACCGTGCTGGCTCTGGGGAACAGGCTCCTCTCCCTGGCGGGGGAGGTCAAGCAGGCGGAAGTCAGTTCAGAGGAAGACCCCTGGGCTAGGGACGCAAAGAGCCGAGGTTCAAGGATGCTACTGTCCAGGCTTCCTCCAAGCTGCTGGCTGATTGTCTGAATTCCTGACTGATGTGGGATAAAATGCTCCTGGCTCTCTCCCTCCCTCTCAGAAAAGGAAGGAAATTCTCCAGACAGATTGTCCTAAGGCACGCCTAGGTGGTATGGTGGGAAAACCACAGGGCTGAAGGTCAGGGGAGGTTGATTCCAGCCCCGGCTCAGCCACTAACTCATAGCATCACCCTCAACAGAACCCTTCTCCTTTCTGGACCTCTGTTTCCTCATCTGTAAAATGGGTACAGAGGGAAAATTGGAAAAGCTAGTCTTCAAAGTCTATTTCAGGTGCAAGCTTCTAAATCAGGTGTGAACTAGGCCCAGAAAAGAATGCAGAGTGTTCAGCACATCTTGCTTTTTTGAAAACCCGCTCTCACTGAGGTCACTTACATAAGTTGGGGAATGGAATCCAGGTCATCGGTGACTATAAAGCTTGACATCTTGGGCTCCCGAAGGAAGCGTAATTTAAAGGACAGTGCGATCACGGCTACTGCAATGTTTACATCTACAATTTGGAAAGCAACAGCACAGGGGATAGTAGCCACTTGCCCCAGCAGCGCAAGCCCAACAACCATCATGCTTTGCCCTGCGCTGAGTCCTGCCATTAACAGAACAAACCAGCATGTCGGGGAGGCCAAGCCCAGCTTTATCCTCAGAGGAATAGAGATCCTATGAATGCTCCCGGTTCCTCAGAGCAGGGATCCTTGCAGTCCTCAGTATCCTGGGTTGGCACTGGGTCCGTGATTATCCATGGGGGACCATGTGTGAAAGATCCTTGTATGGGAACACTGGGATCTCAGAGCGCAAGTGGACGGAGGTGGACATGGAGAGGAGTAACTCACCAGGTGAATGTTTCATTTGAAAAAAGGATCCCACCGCTAAAGTATTTTCCGTTCCCTGGATCCACAGTGAGATGGTATTGTAGAAAGAGCACTGTACAGAGAGTCCAGGGAACTGGGTTCTAATCCAGACTTCCCATAGTCTTGCCAAGTAGCCTCAGGCAGGTTTGTCTAGGCTTTGGTTGTATCGTCTGTGAAGGGGGATCCACGGGGCCCTTAGGAGGCTCATCTCCCCTTTTTATGCATGATTCTCATTTCTCTTTTGGGAATCAGGGGGCCCATCACTACCCTGGCTCCCTATTGATAGAGACGGCATGCCTTGGAGGAGTGGTAGATGGTGTCTGGAGCAGCAGCCCACACTGTCTCGTGTCCCTCCCTGCCAGGGAGATGCCTTCTTGAAGCTGAGCCCTCAGAGGGCAAAAAAAGCCGACATCTGACCTGCTATCCCCCCACCCCCAAACATGCTTTCAGTCTCCAAAGACCCCAGAGTCACTGCCCTTCTGGAAGGGGCATTGTAGGTACTTGAAATGGGCTTCTGCTTCAAGTTGGAGGCCTGGGACGCCAAGGAGGAAAGGCAAGTACTGTGGGCCTGGAGGGTGACCCTTCAGGTCTGCTGAGTGTTTCCCCTACACCAGACACCAGGAGACAATGCAGGGCTAACTCCCAAAAGTTTCTGGCTAGGGCTTCGTTGGCTGTGTGTCCTGCCATGGATCAGGGAAGGACTCCCCTGCAGGTAAGTCCCAACATTGCTTCCTGTCTGCTGAGATCGCATCACACGCAGCGCTGTTTTCCCACACATGGTCTCATTTGCATGGCGACGAGTCCTATGTGATAGGCACCATTATCCCCATTTTGCACTGAGGGAGTTGAGACTTGGGGAGTCTCAGCGACATGAGCAAGATGACAGAGCCAGGTCGGACTCTCAGGCCTCCAGCTCTGCTTCCCACGAGGAGGGTCACGGGCCCCTGGTCCCGAATTCCCTCTTCTCGGTGCTCCCAGGACACCGACCCAGCTCCCCAGCAGACCACAGAAAAACACTGTGTGTTACCAGGCCCTGAAAGGCCCCCACGTGTCTGCTTTCCACTGATTTGAGACGTACCTGCTCATCTCTCCTCCTGCGGCCCACAGTGGTGCCAATGGTCTTGATCACACCGGGTCTCGGGAGTGCCATGTGCCCAGGGACAGAGGCCAGGCCCGGCAGGGGGCTGTAGGGGTGCGAGCGAGGGTATGGGTTGGACATGGAGGTGATCACCGTGGGCTGCACCATCCACTGCAGGTCCTGGCTGGTCGTGATGGCGTTGATGGTGGGGATGAAGGCGCTGCCTGAGCCAGGCATATCTACCCGGAATTTCTGAAATGAGGAGAGAAAACCGTGTTGAACCAGTAAGTATGGAGCAGAAGAGGATGACTTCAAGGTCTCAGCAGGCCCTCCCAGGGGCCTTCAGGGCTAGCTATGCCCACATCTGCAGAGCAGCCCTCCCCCTGGCCTCATAAGCCTCTGGGTCACCTGCCAATTAGCCCCCAGGGTACTGGGGCTGGGGACCCCTTGAGGAGATTTGCAAACCAACAGCTTTGGGGCAACAATGATCACCAGGAAGCTCATTGTGTCTGCTTTTGTTACTTTCCAAATAGGTGTAAGATGGGGCTGTGACCCCATCCAGGGGGAGGCCAGGTCCATGAAAAGGTGCCCTCCAACTCCTGAGACTGAAAAGTGGTAGCCTTTGTGCCCTTGTCCTCCTCCTGGCCCTCAACCGCCATCTGGCTTGGAGCAGACGCACCGTGTCTCTCTCTACCTACCGACAAACCTATCTGCGTTCGTAGATGTGTCTGTGTGAGACTTGAGTGCTGCTAGCTCAGAGTTTTCTGTCTCTTAATTTATGCCTAGACCATGTTGCAGAACTCTCCGGAACATACTGCAGGAAGCATTCTATTTAAAATATAAGATGATGACAGAGTAGAAACACTAAAATGGGTCACGCTCCTCAGCAGTTGGTCTTGGCCCTTCTTCAGGGCCGACTACTAGAAAGTGAGAGGAGGGAGAAGGGAAAGACCTCCCTGCCCCCATGCCTCCCTGGCTTCCAGCTTTTCAGGAGGAAAGCGCCCCAGTGGGAGCCCTCCTCCTCAGGTGATTCCTTTTTCCACACATAGGTTCTGCAAATCCTTTCCTCCCTAACCTGGTAGGTGACATGATGAATATAATAATGTCACTTACTGAGTACTTACTAAATGATGGGTCACCGTGGTAGTTTTTGACCTCAATTATCTGATTAATTCTCCCTCTGAGGTAAGAACTACCATTATCTCCATTTTAGAGGCAGAAATTTAGGCGTAGAGAGATTGAGTAACCTATCCAAGGTCACCCTGCTCCTAAGCAGGGGTGGGTCAGGACTCAAATATGGTTCAGCCTGACAAAGAGGACAGGGCTCTCACACATGGTGCTATACAAGGTTCCATGCATTGCTTTCTGCTTCCTGGAAATCCAGACCCAGGTGCTGGTACCCACCCCTACTGCCCTCAGAGCATCAGCTCATCCCTGCCAAGAGACCCTACAGACCGTCCCTCTCCCTGAAGAGGCCATAGATCTGACCCCAGATAAAATCCTGCTATCGTCATGGGGACTATAGCATCCCCCCTCTCTTGGCCTGGTCAGACCAACCAGAAATAAAAGTATTAGTAGCAAAGCCAGCTACCTTGTCTCTGTCCCTGGTGACAGATGACACCTGGGTTCCTGTTGTGTAAATAAAGTGCTACTTAGAGCCCCTGACTGTAATTGAGGGAGTTGGGGCCCCTTCCTTGCTCGTTCCCCTGCCAACTAGCTGGGTGGCCCCAGTCTGGGTCAGGGGGGATGTCTCTGCCTCACTTCCCAGAATGCCCCAGGGTCTCAGGCCAAGGGCGTTCAGTGAAGAAAGCACAACCCAGCACAGGGGATTTTGGGATTCCACAAGGAGACCCACCGGGGCAAGGAATCCTGGGATTCTGTGAAGCTACCCGTGCAATGGATTCTGGAATTCTAGGAGAAGAGCTGCCCAGTACAAAGGATTCTGAGTCATCTTGGAAGGCAAAGACAACTTGGCTTTTATCAGGAGCTGACTGAGCTGTGTGTGTGTGTGTGTGTGTGTGTGTGTGTGTGTGTGTGTATATAGGAAGGATGCAGTGAACAAGGAAGAATCCAAGCGGGAAACGATCTTCAAGGAGAAAACATGGACAACTGAGCTGGGCCTTGAGGCAGAGTACTGAAAGCCCGGAAGTATGGCTGAGTGTGCAGAAGGATAAAGGCCCAGACAGCTCCGTTTCTCTTGGGGGGCTGGATGGGAGGGGGGAGGTGGCAGGAGGCCTGGATTTGAGGCCTTTGCAGAATCACCGAGGACTGTTTCCCTTCTGGGAGGGAGAATCCGAACACAAAACTCACCACACCATCATGAGGATTAAATAAGTAGCTACTTCTAATCATGGCTATAAAAGCACACCGGTGGTTCTCACCCGTGGCTGCCCATTAGAACATTCTGGGGAGCCTTTTCAAAACACCAACGTTGGAGCCGGCCTCGCCATTAGAGTTCTAAAATAACACGTCTGGGGTGGGGTTCTGATAAGGTATTTAAAAAAAAAAAAAAAATGCCTGAGGAGATTCTAACATGCAGAGCGGGGGTTGAGAAACACTGCGCCAAGCAAATGGAAGGCGGCACCGTCCTCACCATCACCACCACCACGATGGCGTCTCGTCACTGCGCGTGCGCACTCTGCTTGGGGTGGCTCCAGGAAAAACCTCCAGCGTCCCACTCCCGGGAACCACCCAACATTTTTATTCCATTTCTCTCTCCAGGTTCTGGGTCTGAAGAACACCTGAGGCATCCAGCATGAGGGTCACAGAAGGTTCCCTCTGGGAGAGAATGGTCAGCTTTTCTCTCAGGAAACCCTCCAAGAAAATCGCTCCTCATTTCAACAAACAAAAGAGCTCCCTTTTCAGCCTACGGGAAGCAAGCAGAAAACCTGAAGCACATCTGGGAGGCTGAGATTCCTTGGGAATAAGTGGATGATTCTCAGCCCCCTCCCCCGCCGGGGGGCCCCTTGGGCCCTCCAGGGCCCTCGCTCTGGGTCTCCAGAACGTGCTACCCGGCCTTCAGCCAGATTCCTTGCAGCTATGGCTTGGTCTAGACAAAACAAGACAGCAGTAAAAACAAGGCACTAGGTAATGACTGCCTCTAAGTGCGGGTACAACTTGTTTCGGAGGGAGGTAAAGCCATCTGGATAACACACTGGCTCTAAACCACACAGAAAACAACGTCCCAACCCCAGAGGGGACTGGAGCTGTGATCAAGAGGGCTTGTGTCTCCTCCAGGAGCCTCCCTGAGACACTCGCACAAGTTTCAAGGAGATCCGGAGATGGGACTTGTCTCCCCTCCAGAGGTATTATCCAGAAAGCTACCCTGAAGTAGGTGAGAAGAGGTGAGGCGAGGAGTCTGTGGTCCCAGGAGTCAGCCGGGCACTCTTCTTCGCCAACAGACCCAGGAATCGGTCAAATACCGTGCTGGGAGTAGTCCCCGTTCTCTACGGAAGGGTTATACTAAACATAAACCAAGATAGGATTTCTGGGCTGCGGGCATGAGGGCCGTGTGAGCCCTGCCAAGCACCAGGTGTGTGTTGAGGGGGGATAGAGGAGGTAAGTCTGGACCTCACTTGAGTCCCCTGGGGCTCTCCAGCCCCTGCCCCCTGGAAGCCCCTCCTCTAGGGACAGGACGGAAGATGCTGGATGGCTGGGTGGCCTTCCAGACTGGCAAAGCCCCTAAATGCTTTATTTGACTGTGTCATCCTGCTGACTTCTGGGTGGGCAAGAATGCCTATAAAAGGACAAACTGCCCCCCACGGACCTCCTAGAGCAGAGTGTGACAAACTTTGGTTGTAAAAGGCCACATACTAAATATTTTAGGCTTTGTGGGTCATGCAGTATCTGTCGCAACTATTCAACTCTGCCGGGGACAGTGCGTAAACAAACAGGTGTGCCTGTATTCCGTGAAATCTTATTTACAAAAATACTGGAGCCGTGTTTTGGGGACCCCCCCTTCTAGAGGACCATTCCCTCTCCTAAGTATCAGGGTTGGGGGAAAAAATAAAGAGAGGAAACACGAAAGAAAAAAAACAGACAGAGAGAGAACTTTTCCTTTAACTCAGGGAATCTCATTCACCAGCTTGAAACTCCAGACCAAGAAGCTGAAGTTCAAGCCCTTACAAGCTTTGTTGTGGGTTTGTGGGCCTCATAAAGACCCCTCTTTATCCTGAAGCACCCCTATTTAAGGGTGCTGTGGGGCTGTCCAGTCCTGTTCCCACAATCTCTAAGGAAGACAGATCAGAACACAGTGCCCTACAGTCTCCCAGCTTCACCAGGTCGAAGTCCCTGCAGCCCAGCATTTTCTGATTTGGAAAAATGACCTTCCTGAACTTGACAGCTGGGCCTTGGATTCAGAAATGAGGGTTACAACCATGGCCTTTTGCAGAAGGGTCTAGGAAGTAGGCTTTGGGTTCTCATTTCCTACAGACATGATTGGAGCAGGGCTTGGGCCAGAAATTCCTGTGCTGGGTAGAAATGGCATTTCAGATGCATGGAGGGTCAGTGTTGTCAGCCCATCCACTCGGCCAGGCATCTCTCCATCACACTGATTCTCGACTGGGCTCCCAAGCCCTCAAGCCACGAACCCCAGAAATAACTTGTGACCTGTCTCAGCAGGCAGGCAGGTATGACTATGCATGTCTGGAAAGGGGCTGGCTTCTTTCTCTTAAGGAACCCCCCTTTAAAATATATATATATATATTTTTTTAAATTTATTTATTTGAGAGAGAGAGAGAGCACAAGCAGGGGGAGGGCAAGCAGAGAGACAGGGAGAAGCAGGCTCCCCAGTCGAACAGGGAGCCCAACGTGGGGCTCCATCCCAGGACCCTGGGATCATGACCGGAGTTGAAGGCAGACGCTTAACTGACCAAGCCACCCAGGTGCCCCTAAAACCCTATTTTTTAAAAAAATTCACAGCATGGGAAAAGTTCCAAAATTTCTACAGACTGGCTCAGGGGAAGAGAGCAGAAGGGACAACTCCTGCTTCAAACACCCCAGAACACCCCGACTGAGGTCCAGCTTGACTCCAATGTTCTCTGTTTCTATTTCTTCTTTGGAGAAGATTCCAAAGTCTTCTATATGGAATTCAACCGGTCTTCACAGAGTGTGCACTGGACAGCACTTTGACCTTTCCTATCTGAAGAAAGCCACTTGTGTCACAATGGAAATGGTTGCTAATAACTCAGGATTTCCCCCAACTTCACAGCACACAAACACTCTCTCAGGTGATGGGTCTCCTGTCAGCTTCCTCTCTTTCCCAGTTTTACTTAAAAGAACCACAGTCTCCTCCTGGTCCTCACCACCAGGGTGAAGCAAAACAAAGCAAAGGAAGAAAAGAAAAACAGCCAGAAGAACGTGGCTGGTATGGAGTTACCACCCAGTTTCCCCAGTTTCTTTCCTCCCAGGGCCCTTCCAGCCAGAAACCCCACTCCAAAGCATGGCAGGGATGGGAGTGGAAATCCTACTATCCTGTGTACCCCTTTTGCAGTCAGTGGAAGTGCACGGCATCTGATCTTTCCTTAAACCACAGCAGGGTGAGCGTGGCCAAGTGCCTGCCAGAGAGACGGTGCTGGGCAAGAGAACGCCTCACTTCCCTCTCAGGCCCAGTGAGCTGGAGAGTTACCAAGTGGGGTTTGGAAGACATCTATTTGCTTCAGTCAAGGCAGCTGCCATCACGTTGAAATGTTGTGGCCACCAAAAGAGGATGAGCCAGATCCACAAAGGAATGATGCTATTTTTTTTCTCTCAACAAATAGAGCACAAAGTTAGCTTCTGGCATTCTCGAAACCAGTACCTTTCTTCCTGTTTCAAGAGGAAAAGAAACATCTAAAGTAGGGATGGCAAAAGTGCCTATTTCAGGGTTGGTGACTGCTCTTGGTGACTTCTCTCCCAGGGAAGACTCCTGAGCGGGGAGACCAAGATGACTCGGGGTCCCACTGGACTTTGGACCCAGTCTGGGATCACCCAGACCTTCTATGACAGACTCGAGTCCTTATAAGTCACATCTTTTGATAACTTCCAAATATCAAAGTCCAGCCTCAAAGGACAAAGATCTGTGAGCAGGGAGGGTTTTTGAAAGAATTTGCTGAAGGTGATTCCAAAAGAGGAGTGTTGTCAAACCTTGAGTCTGACCAAGAACCACAGCAGTCAAAGAAGTAGTTGGTCTCTGCCAGGAATAATTTCGAAGGGCACCACGGTGATTTGGATGTGTAAATTCTGGTGTGTTTGCATTATGATAGGAACAAAAAGGGGCACCTGGGTGGCTTAGTCAGTTAAGTGCCCAGGTCATGATCCCAGGATCCTGGGATAGAGCCCCACATAGGGCTCCCTGCCCAATGCGGAGCCCGTTTCTCCCTATCCTTCAGCCCCTCCCCTACCACTCCTGTTCTCTCTCTAATAAATCTTTAAAGAAAAAAAAAAAAAAGATGGGGGAAAAAAACAAACCCAAGGCTCCTAACTTGACGCTCACCTTGAACAATAAGGCAGGCAGAAATAAAGCAATGGAAATGCACTCGGGTTTCGAGAGGAAAATTCAACCTCCGCTCAGACAATACATGACTGCTACTTCACCCCGTTCACTTTGATGAAAAAGTGACACTGACTTCCACCATCAAGAATCAGTTGAACAGACAAATTCCTGGGATAACATTTTGTTTGATCCTAATCTACAACGTCTACAAGATCAGAGACAAAAAACCCCGGGGGGGGGTGCACAAAACCCCTAATATACACCTCCCACCTTCCCACCAATTCTGAAACCCCCCCCAATCCTGTGTCCTAATACAAACACCTCAAGAAAACAAGCCTTGGGAATTTGAATTCCTGGCACCCTAAAGAAAAGACAAACATCAAAATAGGGAAAGAAAAAACGCACTCCTTTTTGAAACAGGTTTTATTTAGAACAGATCAAAAAAAAAACCTGCATTTCAAAAAGTCAGGCAGTTCCTAGTTAACCGCTGTTAGATATATGGCATTTATTTGTCCCAAATTAAAAAGAAAAAAATCCTAAGAATTCCGAAAACTCACCAAGTTAACACTGTCTGGGGCTGGAAAAATACCTTCCCCAGACAGTTCTTCTAAGAATGTCCCGTAGGGGGCACTAGAGAGGTGTGATTGGGACTGACTTGGGAATCACAGTCATTTCTGGTAAAAGTTCTTTGATGTGAGGAATGTCCCAGCCTGGTACAGTTGGCAAAAGTTCACTCCGGGGAATTTTGTGTGTGTGTGTGTGTGTGTGTGTGTGTGTGTGTGTGTGTGTGTGTGTGTCTGTCTGTCTCTTGGGAAAGGGCGGCTGCCGAAGAAGAGAGCTAGCCTGGTATTCCTTGATTCCAGAAAGGAACTGTCCCTCTTGGTTTATTTTCACAAGTTATCTCAGGAACCGACAAATGGCAACCTTGGAAAAGTTCTGGGTCTTGTTTTTGTTTTGTTTTTTCATTAAAAGGGGGCCCAGCTGATGAAAACAAGTTATGAAATGACCTGTGTTTGTGTAACTGGCTGATTGCGTAATGCTCAGGCCCTGAAACCGTAATAGTTGGGCAGCCAGGCAAGGCATATATCTGGGAGGTGTTTTCCTAGGAAACTCAGAAGAGAAAGAAAACAACAACAATAAACAGAAATGCCAGGAGGGGGAGGTGTGTGCAACGATTATTGACGAAACAAAATCACCAATGACCAACCTTCGAGATTAAAACTATAACTGGAACAGGAAATATTTTTCATGCTTGGAGTTCCTGCCATATACAAGAAGACTGGTTTCAACACAGAGTTACCTGCCCCCCACCCCTCCGAAGTCCCTGGAACTCATGGCCATGTGTTAAAATCAAGCTTTATTAAACTAGAGAAAAGAAAGTTTTGGTTTGAGTAAACAGCAACAAACTTATCGGGACTATCAGACCCCACAAACAAACAGATGGGGAAAAAATAATATTCACTGGCCCAAGGGAAAACCAGAGCACCCTCTTTTCTTATACCGACCAGTCCAAGGAGACGCTACAAAGGTGGAAGTCCCAGCATAAATGCCAGGAAAGCCGCCCCATAAAGGAAGCACAGAGAAATAAAGTGATTACAAGTTGTATCTGGTATGTAATAAAGTTACCTTGAGCCCGAGATCGGGTGGGGTCCAGGCGCAGACTTGGGAAATAACAAAAGCCTCTCAAGTCAGTCCCGAGGACCACAGAACAGCTTGGCTCCAAGTTGGAGAGATGATAGAAAAACCTTCCCCCCACCCCACCCCCCGCCTGCCTCCTCCCACCTCCTTCCCCTAGGAGTGGACAGGCTGAGAAACTTGTCCAAAGCCGCATTACCTTGCCGATCCCTCTGGTTTGAAAGGCACCTCACTCAAGCTGCTGGGCCAAACAGGCAGGCGTCTATGCGAGAAGCCCGTGCACTAGTTATTACTAATTGCAAAATCCTTGTGTGTTACAGCATGCTAGGAATTAGCCCACAGCTGCTTTTTGCTTCGGTAATGAGGCCCCATTACACCCTGCTGGACTGAGTTCTCTTCCTTCTTCCTAGCACTGGTTTCCTGTCTGATTTTCTTCCAAAACAGGGAATTGCCTCCGCTCACATCCTGGGCTCAAAGCCCTAGTCACACAGATTATTCAATCTGGGCACTGATGTCCGGTCTGACTTCCCATTCGGGCCCCAGGGTCTGAGCAAAGCCAGGCGGCAAGATTGTCATATTACAGTGGTAAATGCCAGGAAAACGGCAGCAAAAGGGACAGACAAGATATCAAAGGATCTCTTTCAGATTCAGGGAGGAGGAGAAGGACGTTTTGGCAGCTTGCTGAATTGGAAAATAAGAGAATGGGTATAAATGACTCCGACCCGTTGCTTAAGGATATTTGGATTCAATTAAAACCACCAACGGGACTGGAAAGCGAGCAAAAGCACTTTTTAAATAAGATTTAAAACTCATCACCTTGGTGCTCATTATAAAGGGTGCCTCAAATGCTCCCTCAATGCACCGACTAGGTTCTCTACGGTGGGTGCTTGTGCGGGCACCAGGGGAGATACAGAAAAGCCATTCTGGGGACTCACCAAGTACGGGGGAACCCCTTCGCAACAAGGTATCCCTCTTCAGATCCCAAAGAGAGCTGTCTTTCCATTTTATTTTCTGGCAGGATCCACCCCTCCAGGGGAAGCCCACCCCAGTCCCTCCTGGCTGGCTGGCTTCTAGAGGCCAAGGCCACTGCCTTACCAGGGCAACTCCTGCTGTAGCCAACTTGCCCAGAGACTCCGCAGATCCTGACCCAGATGGGCTTCGGGTTGTAGTGGCCTTGTTTGCTAAGCCAGCTCCCTCTGAAGCCTGAGGGTGGGGGTGGGGGGCAGCTGCTGCAGAGGGCAGACACCCCACTACCCCACCAGCACCCTTCTGGTATTTACAGACACAGATCGCAGGCACAATCCTTCCAGTGCAAACCAGTCTGGCTGCTTTAGAAACAAGTTGTTTTTCCGCTTCCAGAACCACCCAGGAGCCTAAGCAAGCTCTCTTCTCCCCCCACCCCTCCCACTTCTCTCTGCAGGCGTCCTTGCCCCAGGTACCCCTCCCCAGACCCTCAAGGGGCCGTTCTGGTGGCAGTACAGGCTCCTTCTCTGACCCCAACAGGAGATGGATGGGCGCAGGGGCACAAAGACGCAGGGCCCGAGCCTATCAAGGCTGACCTCCTCCTTCCTGACCTTCGCACCCTATTCCCAGAGCGACAACCCTCACCGTCGCTCTGGATTACTTGAAGGAGCCTAACCATGTTTTCAAATCCCTAACCTCTTTCAGAAATTAATACTGATGGAGAGCAGGGGAAGAGAGGGAGAGGGCTCTCCCGCAGCAACGGAGTCCTTGGATGTCGGGAGGGACCAGTGGGTGCAAAGATTTTTTTTTTTTTTTTCCCACCGCGGAGAAGTGACGGGGGTGGGGAGGAGGGAGGGATTTCTGGGAGAGGAGTTAGGCTCCGGAGAAGGGGAGCTGCAATTCCAGGAGCTTGTCTGGGTAAGATGTACAGTGAGGGAAAGGGTTTGCCGGCTCTTCAAGCCCACTCCTCGGTCCAATAAAAAAAAAAAAAAAAAAAAAAAGTGTTTGGGGAGAAGGGTGGGCAGGACAACACGAAAATCCAAAACTTGCAATGGTGACCCCGTAGGAATTTTTCTCCCCAAGCCAAAAACGGGAAAAGAAAGCAAAAGAGGCAGTGGCGGCGAGAGGAGGGCGGGGGTCCGCCCGCGCCGCCAGGTGCACCCGGGGCCCGCACCTACCTGCTGGCCGCCGCCGCTGGTGTAGGACTCGGCGTGCGCAGGAGAGCCGCTGCTGCCCCGGGACGAGGTGTCAAAGTTCCCGGGATAATCCTGGTACATGATCCGCGGTGGGGGCCGGAGAGGAAACAGGGTGTTTTTCTTCCCCCGCCCTCGCCGCGGCCGCGCACCGGCTGCTGCGGGCTCGCTCCCTGCCGGCCGCGCCTCGGGCTCTGGTCTTCGCTCCCGGGCTGCTCCCCGACGGTGGCGGGTGCGGACGGGAGGCGGCGACAGCCCAGGAACCGTGCCTCCCGAGCGCCTCGCGCTGCGCTGCTTTCCTGCTCTCCGAGCGCCGCGGGACCGGCGGGCCCCCCAGTCCCTCCCTCTAAAAGTCCGCGCGTCCCTCGGTCCCTCCCCTGCGCGCGCCCTCCCGCTCCCGCGCGCAGCCGGAGCCCAGCCGGGACAGACGGCCCGATCAAAAACTGAAAATTAAAAAAAAAAAGAATAAGAGCCCGGCGGATCACGGCTGCCAGGTCCGGGGGCCCCCCGATTTCAGACAGGGCAAAGAAAAAAACAAAACAAACAAACCAAAAAAAGGCGAAAAGAAAGGCTGCCCGCCGGGAGAAACTTCTATTTCCTCCTTTTAGAAAAGGAGCTGAGGATAAACTTCCTGTGGCCGACTCGCCGCCGGAGTTTCGGAGCGGCTCGGACACTTGCGGGGAGAAGGTAGCCCGTGCCCGGCCCGCGCGGTTCCAGCCGAGCCGGCGCTGAGAAGGACGCGGCCCCGCTGCCCGTACCGCCGCTGCGGCCCCCGACTGCACCCCTTCCCCGGCGCCCGCTCCGGGACGGGCTGCCTCGCCCGGCCGCGCCTCTCTGCCTCTCTCCCCGGCCCGCCGAGCGCCGTTCACTTGCCCGTCGCTTCGCTCGGAGCCCCTGCGCTCTGCCCGAGATGAGTCACTACAATGGCACGAGTTCAACTCCACACTCTTTATTCTCCAGCCCCTGTACCATGTGGATTCACTCACGTCAACCCCAGACTCCACCTTGCAAGGGAGGAGCGCGCGGGGAGGCGGAGGGGGGGAAGAAGGAGGAGGAGGAGGAAGAGGCTCGGGAGGAGGCGGGCGCAGCGCTCCCCTCCGTGCCCCGGCTCCCGGCCGCGCTGACGCCAGTCGCACACCCGGCGCGGGGAAGAAAGGCGGTGGCGGGGCAGGAGCGGACCGCCGGCGCGGCCTGGGGGCGCCGAGGCGGCCCCGGTCCCGGCCCTTCCCCACCCCCGCGCACCCCCGAGCCCAGCGCCCTTGGTCTGTTCCATTGGCGCACGTTGCCAAAGATGGTCATTTGCGTTAGAGGACGCGAGTGCGGGTTCCCTCGCTTTCGGGTGACGTGGAGGGAGAGGGATTCCCTCGCCGGCTCCCGAGCGCGCCGCGGCCTCCCCCCTCCCCTCCACCGCCCTGGGAAGGGGCGCGGGGCGGGGCCCCCGAGTGCGGCCGCGCGGGCCTCGGCGCCGGGTTTTACAAAATAATCACAGCCTGGAGAGCGAGACGGGCGGTTCTGTGCGGCGCCACCGCGAGGCCGGGAGCCGGGCGCGCAGAGCTGCTCTCAGGGAGGGCGCGGCCAAGCGCGATCCTCGGCGCCCTCCGCGGCGCCGCCCGGTGCAGCGGGCGCCCTGGGCGCGCAGGGTACCCGCGCCGCCCTGCGGCCGGCCCAAGGCTGGGCGCGGCGCCGCCGGGCGGGGCCGACCTGCCTATTTTTCCCTGCGTGGCTGGGTGCCCATTGCTCCCCCCACCCACCCGAACACACACACACTTTTTTTTTTCTTCCCGGCCCTACAATTAATTTGTTAGGAGTAACCCTGAAGAAGAAATTAACCAGTCAAGACATTCCGGCCTCCCTGTGTGCGGGACAATTAGGACGCATCTAATAGTAAGCGGACGTAAGAAGCAAACTCGACTGTTAAGAATTAAGGAAAAAAATAAAAGAGAGGAGGAGGGAGGGAGGCAGGCCCGGGAGAGGGTGTGCCCCAACGTTGTCTTCAGCTGTTTTGGAGGGAAGTTCAGGGAGCAAGGAGGAGTCTGGACTCCAGGGTCTTCCCGCCTCGCCTGGTGGGGCGGGGCGAGGTGCGGGTTAAAGAGCACAGACCTCGGAGTACGAACGCCAGACTGTGCTATTTATGAGCTGTGAGACTTTGGGCGAGTCCCTTAACCATTCTGGGCTTCGGTTTCTTCCTGTAAAATGAAGGGGTTGGGAAAGATGACCCTCTAGGGCCCTTGCCAGCTCTGGAACTTCAGTTCTTCTGCAGAGACGACCCGGGAGAGCACTGTACTGGGAGTCAAGGAACTTGGGTCCTGGTCCAGGCACTGCTTTAGTCTCGGTTTACCCAGCTCTTACGAGGCGCCACCTGTACCCCCACAGGGTCCTTGTGAGGACCCGACGCGAAGATGTGTGAAGACCATGAGCCCTGGTGAAGCGCTGTGCGTTGTAACACGTCACAGATCCGGTCCTCAGTTTCCTTATCTGTAAAGTGGGGGAGTTGCTAGGAAAGAAAAATAGAGCCGGGAACTCAAAGCTTTCCCGGGGCTCTATATAAAGCGCTGGCGTTTCCGGGACGGCTGGCGGCATCTGGCCGCCCCAGTGGCCCCAAGATACGGTAATCCCAAACAATACTCGGGGTCATTGTTTACAGCTATAAAACACATTCTGTCCTGAGCTCCATCCCCAAGGACGCCCGAGGCGAAGCTGGCCAGACCCCTCACACCTCCGCCCGCCGCCCTCCGGGCAGAGTCCCCAACTCTGCGGGCCGGGGAGAGGTGTGCGGCGGGCGGATGTGCACACCGGCCGCGGGGACTGCGCGGTGGAGGTGGGGGGTGTTGTTTTGTTTGTTGTTATTGCCGTTTCATCCCTGAGTCCTGCCTGCCAGGGTGTTTACGCGCCTCTCCCAGCAGGACTGAGTAAATGCAGTTCTTTGACGCAAAACCGATCAGCCCTTTTCCCCAGCGGCAGTGGCAAAACCAGAAAACTGGGGGTGGGGACGGTGTCGGGGAGAGCGCAGGAAAAGAAATCGTGACACTTTCTCACTCGCCTCTCCGTCCTCTCCTGCGCCACGCGCCCCCCCCCCCCCGCCACACCCCGCAAGGTGCCTTAGCGAGATCTTGGTGGGGGTTGGGGGGTGTGCTGCAAAGCGAGACGCGCCCAGGACCCTCCCGGGGGCAGCTGCGTGCTGAAGCGGCGCGAACAGAGGCACTTTTGGTTTCCCTTGGAGCACCAGCGGCTGCCTGGCCCTCCCCCACCCCGCGCTCGAAAATCCGGGTGCTTCTGGGTCTCTCCCACACAGTCCTTCCAGTAATGCGGGGGGGAAAGGAGGAGGGGGAAAGGGAGCGGGAGCTTCCTCCGCGGCCTCCGCCGTCCCGGGCGCGCCCAGGCCCCGGCCGGCGCCGCCGGGAGCGCGCGGGCGGGCGAGCGCACCCTCTCGCCCTCGCCCGCCCCCGCCCTGCCTGCTCCCCGGCCCTTTCCTTTCTTGTGGGTTCCCGTAAAGCCCAGCAGCACCGAGACGTCTGCAGAGCATCACGGAATCTGTGCTGATGCAAGTCGCTAGCCTCCCTTTGGTGCGCCCGGCCTGCCTCGGAGCGCTTTGATCCCGGTCTTCCCCAGCTCCAGAACTTGGGCTGATTTGCTCTGCCCGTCGGGAGGCCTGCGTTCTGGGCCTGCCCCTCACCTTTCATTCCGGAAGCGCCAGACGCGCAGAGTTGCGCCCTGGTGCTGCGCGGACTGGCCCTATGGTCCAGCCAAGAGATGAATGCCAAGCCGAGAATTCAACCTCCAAGCCCAGTTTATTGCCTCCTTGGGGAATCATTTCTGATAACCCGGTGAGGAAGGAGCCTCTGCTCCCCGGACTAACATACCGAGAAGTATAGAGGCCCTCGTGCTTCGTGGAGCCCTTACCAAGAGTCAGACTCCAGGCTGATTACAGGAACGGTCTCGTGCAGCCCTCCTAACGAATATTTGAGGTGCGCACTATTCCCTGGTTGCAGATCAAGAAAGTGAGATTAAGTCATTTGTCCTGGAGATTTGGTTAGTGGGTTAGTGATCCGGGTGGAAACGCACCTCGGCCTCTATGACACCGGGGTCTTCCTCTTACCCAGGACACTTCATGACCTGCTTCCTACTGGTATGTCTCTGTTTCTCTCTTACCCGTCTCCAGAAAGCATGGACTTTACTTGGCACATGACTTGGTCCTACACTTAGAGGTGCTCCTTAATTCTCAGCTGAATAAATAAACAGCCTAGCCTCCTGGCTCAGCTTAGGGAAAGGTCATGTCGGGTTTGAGAAGCAGAGGAGAGAGAAAAGGGAGAGGGAGAAGAGGATTGCTGGGGGCTGTCTTCTCACTGTTTCTCTGGGTCTTTGGGACATCCCTGCAGGGCATGGCCATTGTGTCTCCTCCTTTGTCCCTCCAGCTCAATGTTTGGTCCTCAGTTTGAATCCCAGAATAGCTGTCTGCTCTGGGCCACAGGGGCCCACACATCTGAGTGCTGGGCAGTTCACGAAATCTTTCACATACATGGCCTCACTTGTCCTCATACAACATCCCCGCCAGGGATGTGACCACAGTGGGGTTGACTCTGGATTGCCAAAGAGTAGGCCAAGCCACAGAATGGCAAAACAGTCTACTCACGGTGTCCCAGCATGGGGGTATCAGAGCCTGAGCTCAGAACCATCCCACCTGGCTTTACACCCAATGCTCTGCCTGTCACCTATGCTCCCAGCCTCGACGGGCCAGAAGCAAACTCCATGTCTTAATGAAAAGTGGTCCCCTATGCATGCTAAGTAAGCCGTACATTCTGATGATCTTCAAACATTTCTGAAAGCCAGTGCATCTTCTAATCAATGACTATTTAATGTGGAAGCCCTTGTGTTTTCCAAAGATATCTGGATCAGTCAGGAGTCTATCAGGAAAGAGACTTCAGCCCAGCTGCCCCAAAGGAAGAGGCTTTTGCGGAGAATCTCTGAATAGAGATGGGGGCAGAACTAAGGGAACAAGGGATCCTGGCACCCAGAGCCAAGTAACAGCTGGAAACTGTGACCACCCCTAAGACTGAGAAGAGGAGGGAACAGTGTTATTAGAGCCTGGTGTGCACTGGTCCCCAGGAAGAGAGTCATCAAGCAGGACAGAGAGAAGCAGCCACTGGCAGAGAGTGCAGGAGGGGGTGGGGCTACGGAGGGAGGCCAGACCCCTCTCTCTCCTCCCCACAGCCCCTCTCTAGCCAAAGGCAGTCCACTGAGGTCAGCACCCCAGGGCATACAGAAGGGCAAAGAAGGGTGAACTGTGGGTCTGGGGAAGGGGGAGGCACATACAGCAAGTTGGGGAGTAACCAGTTTTAAGATGCCATTAAACCCAGGTGTCTCTTCTCATAGGGGGCATTTCAGGATGGTGGGGAGAGGGGGAGGGAATGCAAGGCAATCAGTGGGTCCCACACCTCTCAGTGGGGATGAGTGTCGGAATAACACACACAGCGTTTCCAAACTGCACCTCCCCTCCCTTTAAACTTTACAGATACACTGAGCCACTAATCCTAAGGGAATGTGTCCTCTCCCTCAGATATGGGGGCAGAAGACAAGTTGGGAACCACGGATCAAAAGATATCAGCATCTGGGGCAAAGAGCCGAGCTCTTTGGGCCTGGGCTATAAGTAATGTGGCTCCCTCTCCTGTGGCCTCCTTTAAATTTCAAGGAGGACCCTCCCAGCTTAAGTGTTCTGAGATGTGGCCCACCTGATTCCC